CGTGTATCCAGTGCTACAAGGTGGAGAGTAAGTGGGGGGGGGGTACGCGGTACCCCCACTTCTTGTGCATCTTGATTAAGAATTGCAAACGATGAAAAACGCTATCACCATTTTATACGCGAGCGTACCCTCACTTTTGAATTCCCACTTCGAGCACTGGGTGTAACTTTACCGCTTATGGGCCTTATTTTTCAGATATCCCTCGTACTAAGGTACATTTTTTACCCTTTCCTTATTGTAGCTTGTTCCTTAATTTTACTTGTATGTGCCACGGGTTTAGTTTATAAGTTATATATGAACTTTTTCTTGTGTAGCATTCTTTACGCACAAACTAAAGTTGTTAACATTGCTCAATTGGATGTTAGAGACTTTCGCTTGTGGGTCAGCGATAAAATCCGAGGTTCTATTCCCTGCGATGGACAGAGCCACTGTACAGTTTTGTGCTAAAACGACAATGTTAGACTGTATGTAAACGTTACTGATTGGAACGTTAAACTTGATATTATCTTGATTTATTTCTACCTTATCGAGTACAAGTAATTTGAGATAACGTTAGCTTGATGTATTTGTTGAATGTCAACTTCCGATAAAGTGAGTGAATTCTTCCAGAATGTAGACCACCGTTTGAAGTTCAAGTCCAAGAAGGGACAACTTCCGTTTGTGGAGCTGAATGGGGCTGAAATAGCAGACTCGGACATTATCATCAGCGAGTTAACGAAGCTGTTTGAGAAAGACCTTGACATCGATCTTAGCGTTGATCAGAAGAACATCAGCCATGCATTTATCTCCATGCTCAACAACCACACATCTTGGTAAGCTTCTTATATAACCAAGAGTATATTTATACATCGTTTTCAGCTGTTGATAGCGTTACAAACGTGATTTTTTCTTCTGTCTTTATACTTGATTTAAAAGGCACTTTTGCAGGATCTTGTTGATACTCTTCCTTTTCTTACGAAACAGAACACGTTCTTTAGCCTTTCTATTATTATAATCTCCTATAGCATTCTTGCTATTCGAAAATTGATTAAAAAGTAACGGGCAACAACAACAACTAGTAATGCGATGTGGAATTCAAATAAAAGAAAATGACCGAGATTTGATTTGTTAAATTCACACTTCTCAGGATTCTGTGAGACTTCATTTCGGATTTTCATGAAACAGTCATATCGGCAATAGTTTCTAAATAACCGTATAGAATATACTTTTTTTTTATTTGTAGCGCGATCGTATTTTGTACGCTTATGTGCGGGCGAAGGTTTTCATGTTATTTTAAAACTTCATAATAATCTTTACTAGGAAGAAATACTTTCATACTTATATTATATAGTAATTTAATGTGGGGTAGCTAGAAAACGACCTTAAGTTTCGCCTTAGTCCACCTAGCAACAGCCAAAATCATTCGTGCGTTGATGTCTGTATCTGTAATGGATGAAAGCCAAGCTGGTATCAGTCTCTAATTATTATTACTTCCACTTACGATCTTGCATACAAGCATACTTACTGTTAAATGCTTGATATTCTGTTTAAATACATTATAATTTGAAGAACGATAACGAAATGAAGTGTGTAGTTAACTCCAATTTAATACAGTTTTTTTATTTCCATTCAACATATTTTTTGTAATGTATAAGTGTTTTGGAAAATGATGAAAGGATGAAAATGATAACGCGCTTTAAAATTTTAAGATATTTGTTTTTACCTTTTAACCACTTGTTTATCATAAGGGGCGGACTTGATAAGCTCTCTATTTCTGCCAGAGACCATAAGATGTATTTGTTAAGTGTTTTTCACATTGAATCCAATGGTATATGATTTATATGGTCTTTTCATGACGTTTACAACAAATTAAACAAATACAAGATTTATGATATTTCATCAAATATTCTAATTTTCCCTGGTTTCCGAAAATATAAACTACCTGGTAGCGAAAGAATTATATTGGCTTCAAATAAACAAATTAAAGAACGACCCTTCAGTTTTAGCGTTTCTGTTTTCTCTTAATCTATTTAAAGGTGAATAACGTACCATTAAATAATATTTAACACTCATGGCGCGAGCCACATATTAATCGATATCACACGGGTTGTTTACTCAGAGGGAACTACCATTAGGATCTGGAAGGGTGAGGTGCACAAATTCGAGAACTAAGTGTGGAAAAACAATTATTTCCTAATGTGCAATAACTTATTCGTTTACGTACCTGCAATATCTGAATATTATAGTATTTTTCTGTGTTAGTTGAACAACACCCGTGTCATATCAGTTATAAATTTAATAGTGGTATGTTTCTGCCATTGTCTGTTTCTACCGATCGGTTTAGTCCTTCAGGTGCTGTTGTTTTCTAAACTGAAAGGTATCTTGTTTTCATAAATACGGGAGATTATGGGTGGGTGTAATGTACCTACTTGAATTACTGCAGTACCCTGATTATTAGCTGACATTCCTTTCAGGATTTAACTTGATTACACTACACTAATTATTCTTTGAATATAATTAACATTCAATAAAAAAAATTATGAAATAACCTCCTCCTCACCTATTTAAAAACACTTGTATACAAACCTCTTTCTGTCGGGTTTTGAAGCCTAACCTTTTTCCAGAGCAGCGATTTGGTTAATTTGATCACGAACAAAGTGTTTTATAATCGGAATTTCAAGTGGTTGGGGTTAATTGCTAAGGGCTAAGGTTTTTGTATGCAAGACTTAGAGAATGGGTCCTGACTCCTTTTACACCTTTATTTTTTATTAGTTTCCAGATAAAGCCACATGACAATATCTAGTTATTCTCAGACTGTTTTTGGAATAAAGATTATTACATCTTTAAAATATAAGCTTTGTTTTCAGAAGGGGTTGGGTCGTCTTAAAATTTGGTTTTACGTAGGCGTTATTTCGTTTATAAAGAGAGAGTGTCCTTGGAAAACCCTAAACATAAATTGCATAGTACATTTTTTGAAATCATTTATGTTAGGTCGTTGGAGCTACGTCACTTTTATTATGCATACAAAGATATAATACTGACGAACTAAACTTTTTCACTCGCAGTAAAATAATGGCTGTAAATTCATAAAATAGCATTGTTTTCGTATAAATGTATGTACGTCAACACATTTGTACCAATGAAAGCAGATTTTTGCCCTAGGTAATATTTGTGAATGACAATGGAATGCTTTTAGTGAAATGTTGATCAGCACCACAGTATTGTTCATTCAGTTTCTAAAATGAACGCTAGTGATGTTCCATTACGAACAAGTCTTATTAAATTTGGGGGAGGGGGATGACAGGGGATTTTGTTTTGTGTCGGATGATGTAAGCCAGCTGCAGATGGAAACGGGTACTTCTTTGTTTCTGAAGTGCTTAGTCTTCACACAACGTTGATTTTGTTAACTGTTTTTTACTGTAGATATCGGATATGAAATAAGTTGATAAATATTAAAAGGCTGCTGATGCTGGGAGATTACAAAGCAGTGGATGAAAATGCAGTTTGTTATAACCCATGATTTTGTCTCTTTCATGAACTTTTTATGTTTTTTTAACTTGGTGGGTACTTTGGGAAGAGAATACTCGAAGATGGTCAGATAAACCTTTACTCGTAACTGGTCTTTATCGGCAAAATGTTTCGAGATAAATTGTACAATTACACCACACGAGGTTAACTGCCACTTTAGAGCCAACTTTCAATGATTATCACTGACAACAGCCTGCTGCCACATCAATAGTATACAACTTCAAAGGCTAAACTTACTTGTAAATGATTGTTAATAAAAGTTTTATTGTTTTTTCCATGACATCGATAACATAACTTGCTGTATCTAGGGTATTTTTCTTTTCTGCTACAGGGTGATGCGTTGGTGGCGCTACAGTAATCCAAATCAATTTTTAAAAACTGCGCAACTGGATGTGAAACAGGTTCTAAATTCAAAACTACCTAAAGGCATTCTTCAGTTTTTCTTCAAAATGGGCTTCAGAAGTGTAAGTACTAACATTTTTGTAATCGTTTTACGGATTTCTCTTTTGAAAGAAGTTAATGGATCAGTCATTGAAGATTATTAAAACCATGGGAAAGACCAAATCACAAGATATACAGAAGGCGAGGTGTAAGCTGCTGAAGCAAGTGTATTTTGAAAATATTTTTAAATCAGAAGTGCATTTCTCGAAATGTTTGTTATAAACTAAGTAAGCATGTTACTAAGAATATCGATGTTTGTCTTATAGAACGTTAAAAAAGCTGTTGGGCACGGGCTTGGCCGTCATAGCAATGAGGAGATTCTGCAGTTTGGAAAGAACGATTTGAAGGTACTCTCAGAATATCTTCAAGACAAATCTTTCTTCTTTGGAGATGAACCCCATCTTGTAAGTTCCATTTTGACGTCAAGGTGCAATGGTAGTTAAGACTGTGTGAGTGAAATATCAATTAAACAGGTGACATTTAAATAGCTTTATTACTGTTTTGCCATCTAAAATTGATATAAAATAAACTCCTGTTACTTTTAGGAAAATAATCTCACCATTTTACAGTCTAGCTCTGTTTTGCAAGACTTGTGTGAATACTATCTATGCAGTTTTCTTTCAAAAGCTTTACTTCTATTTTTTAACCATACATTTTGTATTTCAGCTTGACTGTGTGGCCTTCGCTCATCTGTGCCAGTTCTATTACATTCCTTTCGGGGACATGAAAGAATATATGGATTCCGACTGTTCCAATCTTGTTAGTTTCTTGGAGAGGATGAAAGAACGTTATTGGCCAGATTGGGAGGAAATGTCAAAAACACTAGAGCTGAACACGCATCTACCAAAGAAGGAACAGAAGGAAGAAGTAAACGAAGAAGAGAAAGAGAAGGTAGAAAAAAAAGAGAGTGAAGGTGTGAATGAAGAAAAGGACAAAGAAGAAAAAAAGGAAGCTGAGAAGGATGACAAAGATGAAGGATTGGAGGAGCAGACAAAAGAGGAAAGTGAGAAAAAAGAATAAGTAATAAAAGGGTTAGTCGTTTGTGATCAAAACAGACCAAATATGTACTCATTTTGTGGTCACAAATATCTGCTAGTTGTCTCCGCTCACTTTGATGTTGATTGTTCTCTTCATGTTTCTCGTGGCTCACACGTCTTATCACTCATTTTGGGATGGGGTGGATCACATATAGCTATTTCTGAATATTGCATAGTCTTGTTTCATTTTTCATTCCAGGTGTCAGGTCAGTATTAATATGCGCATGCTCAATTTGTTATGTTTTAAGTGACAAATCTGGATTAGTGTAACTCGTCATATGCTTGAAGTGCAAATCCCGTAACCTTTATATACCTGGCAGCTGTATTGTTGGAATGCTCAATGTATCACAAAGTGCTCACCATGTATCTATGTTACTTGAAGTAAGTAATTCTTAATCGCACATTGAATTTTAAAATATTCTCTAACTAAAACATACTTGTACGATTAATATACGTGTTTAGTGTTACTGTAAAAAGATATACGCTTGTATTCAAAATTATAATTTACACAGTTTTTTTTTTATCGGAATCTCCCCAAGAAGCCTACATATATTTCTACAAATTTATTGATCTTCCAGTTAAAGGCGATGATATGTATTTTTAGGATTTGGTATACAAATGAATAGTCTAATTTTATAGACAAGTGCATTCTCTTCTTTTTTTTAACACTTCCATTATCTTTTTCTATGTGGTGTTGTTGTTTGTAAAACAATTCCATGTGTGCAGTGTGTATTCACATATATATATATTTTTTCTTTTATAAATGTACATCATCAAAACAGTTTGTAATCAACAGCATTGTGATTAAAATGTTGACTGTAATACGAGCTTTCGAGTTTTTTTTGTATGTGTATGTTTCAGAAGTCATAGTTACGGTGATAAAACTGTGTATTTCCTCTGCTATTTTGTAACATAAAGTATTAATTACTATCTTTCAATAATTGAAAATTAAGCACACTAGCACATGTGTTTCTGAATAACGAACTAGCGAATCTGTCATATAATTATGAAAATGGGCCCAATGTATAGTTGAATCGGGTATTTTATGGATCTAATGTTCCCAGATTTTTTAAAATATGAAAATATTGAGAATTTCGATAAAATAAAATTTAATATTAAAAAAAAACTCGCAAAACTTTGTAAAATCTAAAGTCTAGTCGTTTCTGATAGTTCTTTTTACTTGTTAAAAGTATGTGAGAGCCTACAAATAACTTAACTTTTACTTACTTTAACCATTAAAGTGATTTTATAGATTGTTTTCCTTTCAAATCTAATAAACTAAATCGGCATATTATTGCCTTTGAAATACTCGGAAAATTTTCTATTATGATAATGGACCACTTTTCATGACAGTGACAGTGTGAATTAGAGCGGAAGTGTACACTTTATTATCTAAAAGAGCTTGGATGTGGTACGGCGAGATTTTAGATGGCTGTTTTCCATATGGTTGCATTTATCGTATAGAGAGGCTTCGCATGGCCAGGTGGTTAGGGCGCTTGACTCGCAACTTACGGGTCGCGGTTTGATTATTCTGTCCCACCAAACATGCTCGCCCTTTCAGTCGTGGGGCGTTATAATGTAACGGTCAATCCCACTATTCGTTGGTAAATGAGTAGTCCAAGAGTTGGTAGTGGATGGTGATAACTAGCTGCCTTCCCTCTAGTAGTCTTTCACTGCTAAATTAGGGACGGCTCGTGTTTACCCTCGTGTGGCTTTGGGCGAAATTAAAAACAAACAAACGATTATCGTATGGAACTTGGCACATGAACTGTATGAATATCTACAACTTCATTTTGACTAGTACTGATGAATTTTAAAAAAATGTTTCACAATATTTTTAATACATTTATATTCGCACCTGCTGATTAGGTAATAAGCTAGAAAGTTTAAATGTTAAAAGCTTGAGTTTGATCCCTACGGTAAACGAAGCATAGATATATTACATTTGTGCTTAACAATAATTAATCTTGTATACATTTTCTCAAAGTTTAGGTTACTGCAATAGTCTGTGTTTTTAAGGATCACACCAATGCCCTTACAGGTTAGAAAAATCAAGTTGGAACAAGTGCAAAATGTCTTCCACAACGAGTAGAGTTAACAGAAATTGCGTAAATTTAACGACACGCTTATTAATAATCAAGGCGAGTTCGGAACGGGAAAAAATGTCAGGGTTAACTCTTCCGTTGTCCTGTTTTATAGATGAAGAACTATTCCAGCATCAAGTTATTTTTAGATGCACAACAAAAATAAAAAGACTTGTTCAGTTATTTACCTGAAACTTGAATCTAGTAACCAATGGGAAGTAGCAATGAATGTCCTTTCTTCATGGTCACCATAAGATTCAAAGTTCTCGTGGTAGTGCTATATGGGGACGGATATTTATATGGCAGAGTTAATTGTAGTGCATTGAGAAGGTGGAATTAGTTGTATATAAACTGAACAAACAGTTTACTAGGACTTGTAGAGCAAAATGGACTAATCTCTTGCGGTGTCACTCAGCTGTAAGTTTGATTATAACGTTAAAAACTTGGTTTCGATACCCGTGGTGGACACAGCAAAGATAGCCTGTCATGTACTTTGTGCTTAACAACAAAAAACTCTTGGCCTGTCAGCTGGTTGTTTGAACTCTATAAATTTAGAGTTAATAGTTATAGTTAATCTGCAAAGCAGTGGAGAACAGCAAAAACTCTCCGTCTTTCAAGAGGACATAGTCGTAAGTACTAGCTTGGCAAGAGTGTATTTATTAGATACAGTTTTGAATCACTAGTTGTAATAAAAATAGAATAATTCTCTCATTAGAAGCAACTGCGACTTTCATGTTCTGAAGATAAACAATAGAGGTCAGAATTTGATTAAGTCCACCCGTATCATGCTAAAGACATTACAAGTGACGGTTGTCGACCACACTGAAAACAGCTTATTTTATATGTAAACAGAAAAGTATATTTTCAGTAATACTTGAAGCACACCCTATGGACACTGAATAACTGGGGATTTACGAAGGATTCGAGTGTTGCATAATATATGGAAAACATTATTATGGCCGGGATTGAGTCTTTTGATTCCTATCATGTCCAACTCGGTGCGAGAGTTCTTTTCTATGCTAATGATGCAACAATCCACTGCACTAGTGTTGTCCATAATACGTTCGAAGACAATGACTGTGATTTAATAATCTTTCTTAACGTGAAGGATGTATTGCTCACCATTTAAACCCTCTAGCAATATCCAAGAACCAATTTTTTGACCAAACTCCTCTCTGTATTAGCTGCATTCGAACATTTAAAAACAAATCGGTCAGCATATTTTGGGAACTGTGCTACGTCAAATCCACAGTTATCATGGCGAAAGGTGGTCCAACCCATTATTAGTTTGGGACCCTATTAATGAACAGTCAGTGTACATTTGTGCACTAACTCATTGCCTGGTGTTTGGATTCTTAGACTTGTTTAAAAACCTAAAAGTATGATTAATTCCCAATCAAATATTTTATGTTACTACAAAACTTACACGTTATGTTAGAATATTTTATTGCCAATACCGAGCTTGTATAACTCCCTTTAAGCAAGTTTTTAAAGAATATTTTTTACTGGTTCAGCGACTTTTCTTACGAGTAATAGTATTCGAGAAGTTGAAAAGAAAGCTTTTATGAAATCGGTTTGAAAATATATTAATACTGACCGTTAACTGCATCGCAAATGTGGAGGTCTAAGGATCAGACTTACTAATGATATTTTATGTTTAGATATTAAATGTATAAACTCATTCAATACAACTTGAGATTTTTCGACTTGGTTGATAACACAAAAAAAGTTATTTTTTTTTAGATTGCGGAGCGTCTTTTAATGTTTCGAACGTGAAAAGTTTATCATTTAATAAGAAATTGTTAAACGTTGTCTACTGACGATAAAGATACGTAACGGGTTTGATGATTGTGGGTAAAGTTTTAAACAAAATGGTAAAATTCAGCCAGATAATCTTATTTATTATTTAAAGTTCCACGCAGGGGCGCAGCGCCTGATCTTTTTTTTCTCGATTGAAAGTATTTATGTAATAAAGATGTTTACGCTTAATCTGATGTACTTAAAGGATAGTCATCTTTTTGTATAATAATTTTTTTACACTTGTAACATAATTTTGTAGATTTCACGTATAATTGAAAGAACTAATTTTGTCTAAAAATAATAAAGTAATTCTAATAAAGAAGTAGTTTATATGTAATTGAAAGCTATAAAAAGGTAAAGTGTTTGAATCTCTGTTCAGACAGTAAACCGCTTTTGTAATAAAAACTGAGAACGCATATTTTAAACTCAACTAGAATTTTGTAAGTCGTCCTAACTTCTTATTGCGAGGTGGAAAAACGGCTTTCACCTGCTCGTAAATATTAAACTTTACAGTTATACAGTACATAACGATTAAAACGTGACAGTACGAAGGACAGACATATCATACATTTCCGATATCATAGTGCCGCTTCTAACTTTTAATAAAGAGAACATTTAGTAAATTTCTGTTATAATGGCAATAGTTTATCGTACAAAAAAAAAGAGTTCCGAATCTGAAAATTAGGGAGTTTTTTAATAGAGATAAAAAATTAATGTAATAATATAAAAAAGGTGAAATATAAATGTGTCAAACTTTCTAACTTAGTTATAAGTTTACTCTTTTTTAAGGTATGAGCTTGTTACAAACGTGGTAGTTAATCCTGCTATTATGGTTAGGAGTGGTCGTGTAAGTTGCAGTTGCTACTGACTGGTGTCCTTCCTCTGAGAAACAGTTCAAAATCAGGGATGGCTGTGCCTGAACCTTGGGATCTCTGACCTGACCATTTAGTGCCTAAGGAGCCATTCAGATTGAGAAATACCAAATATCTTTTTTTTAAGACTTGAATAGAGCTTAATGTACTCAAACTACTTATAATAACGTTTAATCTTTCTACATGATGTTATGTAATAGACTACCAACCGGATTCTTAAAGGATTGATTAACGACTCGAACTTAATGTGAAATTAAAATTTGATAATTTATTATAAGATTACGAATAATTAAACATTAAAAATTCATTTGCTGCAATTTAACTTCTAAGTAATCCAACAGGAAATTCATCATCAAAGAGCACAGTTCTAATTAGGTTTATTTCTCTCACTCTGAGAGTCACAATTCTAACTAGGTTTATCTCTCTCATTCTCGTTATGTAATGGAAGTTCATCATCAAAGAGTCACTCACAGTAGTAACTAGGTTTATCTCTACCACTCTGAGTGTCACTCACAGTTTTAACTAGGTTTATCTCTACTACTCTGAGTGTCACTCACAGTTTTAACTAGGTTTATCACTCTGAGTGTCACTCACAGTTTTAACTAGGTTTATCACTCCGAGTGTCACTCACAGTTTTAACTAGGTTTATCTCTACCACTGAGTGTCACTTACAATTTTAACTAGGTTTATCTCTCAATTTTAACTACGTTATGTAATATACAGTTTACGGATGTCACAAACAGGCACACGCACGCTATGAAAATAAAGGAAATGTTGAGCTTTATTTTTCCTTTAACTAGGCATCATAACCGTTTTAGGTTCACATCAGTCCATCCTCTTGTTTCACTTGTTCAGGCATTTTCCAGCAAGATTTACCTTTCCTCTTCACTCCTAATCACGTAACAATGAGTCCATGAACTCTTATTTTACTATTGAGTAGGACGTCTGAATAATGTATTCCATATTTTCCACAAGCTTTATCAGTAAGTGTTGTTGGCGACGAATGCAAGGTGTACTTTAATCACACTTACTTTTTATGGAACTTTTTTGATCAAATT